GGGGGATTAATTGATGGCTCCGAATCTGACACGCCGTGAACAACCGTGAATAAATTAATGCCGGGTAATGAAGGCGTATTAATGGACAGCTTTGTCCACACGTCCAGGGAAGGACGTGATGAGCTGCTCCGGACGGGAAGCAGCCTTCATCTTCCCCTTTAAAAAAGAAGAGGAGAACTTAGTAGGCGCAGTGCCGTCACCTTCAGGTAGGGGGCTCTCAGGGCCGGAAATCTGTAAGAGAGGGAGAGTGTGTGTGTCTCCAAGCCCTGATGTGTGAATGGACCAACAGGAGCACACCCACATTTTCGCATTTGTAAAGCCGGGAACCAGCCCTGTTCTGCTACCTGACTCTGACTTTTCCCCCAGAGGAATAGTGGAGGCGGGTTGGGGGGGTGGGACACTGAGACCCAGCTGGACTAATGACGAGGCTTTTTAACCGTCCTGAGACCTGCTTTCTTCTCATCACCCTTTGCATTCCCCACATCTAAGCACATCTGCATCTTTCCTTCATGTGTTTAACTCCTTGTCCGTTCCTGTCATTATGGATGCGCACTGCACTCCGCTTCCGGCTTATAATGCCTCTCGCCCGTGGCGATGAACGTAAGCAGCGGAACCGAAGCCCCTCGTTGCAATCAGTCCACCATGAGGCTTCTGCCTTTTATAACAAGGCCTGACCAGCATTGGCGGCTGGAAGCTCGATGGATGGTTGGATGGAAAATGAAGCTGTGGTTATTTGCTGCGTTTCTGCGATTAAATCTCGTACCTGTGGGAGCTAAAGAAAAGGGGCCAGACTGTAGGTATGTTATCAGGGTAGGAAACTGGATGCAGGAAGCAGATATATGATTATCGATTGGCAGTGAACCCCTTATTCACACCTGCTGTGTGTGTGTGTGTGTGTGTGTGTGTGTGTGCAGTCACGCACCTTATCTCCAAGCAAACCCCCCCCCCCCATTTCCCCATACATACATTTCTGCATTGCCGCCTAAAGCTAGAATGTAAACACGCTAATTGGTTAGGTCACCGTGTTAAAATGGCATTTGCTGTGTTTGTCTCTTGTTGGTGCTGGGCTGTTGGGGAGGGGCTCTGCTCTCACCGAGGGAATCGGCTGCCTTAAATTAGGCGTCCCTGGCCCATTAGGGTGTGAAGATCAGCGTGAGACTGGGGACCTTCTGTTTATAAGGCAGGGCTGCAGGGGCTCCCCTGGGAGGGGGGCTGGTTTAACAACACGGTGGGCCCCCCGCTCCCAGACACTGCTGGTGGGCGGCAGGGTGGCGGGGGCGGGGGTCCTCTGCCGTGTACATCCACAGGAGGGAAAAAAACAACAGCGTCTCAATTAGTGCAAACTGTACTATCGCAAGCGAAGCGGCGGGGGGGGGCTGCTTTGTGGATGCTGGTGCAGCTCTGCACTGCGAAACGGCGTCCGCGGGGGCCGGCAGCGAGCGGCGCCGGTGTTTCTAGCGGGGAGTCCGAGTCTCTGGCCGGCGGGGGCCCCAGCTCACACGCCGGCTCAGCCCCGGAATGCTGCCACTCTGCAGAAAATATTCACTTATGGGGGGAAAATGTTTAGCTTTTACTTAAACAGAAAAACGAGATTTTCTCCAATTTGTTTAGATTTGTCCCTGTGGTGATTTATCCGTATTTAACGTCGGAATATTTAATGGTTTATTTATAAATGAGATCTGCTGGTTTCTGTCACGCCCAGCCCCTCTGTCACGACAGCCTTCACTCCGCAGGAGAACAGGAGCCGTACAGCGGAGAAGCAGGGAGCTGGACTCGGCGTGCCGCTGTTCAGAGGAGCCGCGGTGTGTGTGTGGGGGGGGGGGGGACGGTTAGCTGTGCCGGGCTCGTCGGGGAGTGCACTGAAGGACGGTAATCATACACGGGCCTGACAGCGAGTGTCCGCATGGCCACTGGCAGCACTGGCCACCAACTCCTTGTTTGTGCTGCATCTGAATGAGCGAGACAGCACTCAGCAGACAAGGTTTGATGGGGACCGGGGCCAGACCGGGGCCCATGCTAATCACAACCCCCCCCCCCCCCTTCTCCAGCACCTCCGCTGACATCATTACAGTCCTCGTGCACCCGCTTCCCCGAGCCGGTCGCTGTCACTTGCGATATGGAAGTGCAGGTCTCCGCGATGCCGGAGGAGCAGGATGGAGCCCCCCCCAGAATGAGTGGCGCGTGTGTCCGGGGGTGGGAGGGAGGGAGAGGTGTGGCCGCGAGCAGAGCAGCTCCTCGACAAACAAGCCGGAGCAGTCTTCCGCCCGCGTGTCATATGGGAACGGACAGGCGTGTGATGCCCTCAGGGCTGTGGGGAGGCACGCGCTTTGGGGGTCAGGGGCGGGTCGCACCAGCCGCTGCTGTGACTCGCGTCACGTCGCTGACTCCCTGTAAGCAATGGACTCCACATGAAGTTTAGGCCTGCACAGTGCCTCTCCCAGATGCATGTTCCTTATATAAAAATTCAAAATTTGGGTGGGGTGGGGGGTAAAGATTATAGCAGGCATGGGGGTGCAGGTTTCAGACCTGCGGGGATGGACAGGGTGTCACCTTTCTGTTCTTCATGCTCTAGGGGCGCAGCGGGTGGACACAGGTCCTTGGAGGAGGAGGGTGAAGTGCTGGGGTGGGGGCCTGGACCACTGGGGGGGCATGGTCATTTCAAGGACTGCAGAACACTGGCCTGGGATGATGTGCTTCTATGGCAAGAGACAGCAAAGATGTCCACTGCCCCTGAAGTTATATAACAGCTGAAACAAGAGCAGTGCAAATACACAGGGAAAGTCCACTGGGTGTCTCTGCTGTCTGCTGGAGGGGGCCGGGTCGGGGGGTCCATCTCTGCACTCTGATGGTCAGGTGACCTGATGGGAGAATGTGCCTGTGGATGTGTGGAGTCCGGCTGGACTCTATGAGCTCTGACTGGGTACCACCCCCGTCTTACGGATACCCACGCTTAACTGTTATTAATCACTCTACAGACGCAGGCAACACTCACAGAACTTTCTGGAATAATCTTAAAGATGAGTGCTTTTTCTTATCTCTGTTAATATAATTCCTTTTCTCTCTTCCCTACCCCCAGATCAAACTGTGCCGAGAACATCCGGAAGCACATCCTCCACACGGGCAAGCATGAGGGTGTGAAGATGTACAACTGCCCCAAGTGTGACTACGGAACCAACGCTCCGATGGACTTCCGGAACCACCTGAAGGAGATGCACCCGGACATCGAGAACCCGGACCTGGCCTACCTGCACGCAGGTACGTAGCGCTCCGTGCCTGTGGTCCGGAATGGCCGCTTTTTCCCAGTACAGACCGGGAATGCTGCAGTCACTGTGGTCCGGAATGGCCGCTTTTTCCCAGTACAGACCTGGAATGCTGCGGTCACTTTTCCATGCTTCTTTCTGAGAAGCTTTGCCATGGAATGCATTCGAGAGTCAGTCATTAACATATTCTCAAAAACTAGTTTTTATTTTGGCACTCTTTAAGAATAGTGATACACTGCTTTTCTCTTAACGATAGGCAGTTTTATTATTATCAGCATTGTTATTCTTAGTTTTAGAATTAATAAAATTAGTAATATTACCACTTTTATTTAGCAGATTTTTTATTTAATTAGGTATTTTTGCGCATGGAGCTTCTGCACCTGATGGAGGTACATTAATTAAGCCCTTAAATTGCATTCGTAGTAAATTAAAACATCTGTGAGCCTGATACAGTGCAGCTGTAGAGCTCCAGAGCAGGATGGGACATAGATAACAGCCATTACATGGGGGGGGGGGGCTGATAACGCCTGGCAGGAGAGGCCGGATCGCAGTTTCCGGTGGTGCTTTTTTTCCCCCCCGCCATAAAGCACTCGAACGCCTAATCAGATCAGACAGGACAAGCTCCCAGAAATGAGCAAGGAACTGAGAAGACATGGAATGAAGCTGCGCTGATTAGCGTCTGTCAGAGTGACGCACGGGCCCCCGGCGGGAGGTAAATCGTTTGTGATGGCCGCCCGCACCCCTCCTGCTTTGAAGGGCACGCATCAAACGGGCGCGACAGTCGATGGTGAGGAGGGCAGAGTGCCTGAGTGAGTGGGTGGGTGGGCTTGGCATTCCCCAGGCTCCCGTGTCCCGCTCAGAATGAAATGACCCTCGCCGCCCCTCCCCCGAGTGTGAGGTCATGACATCGGGGTATGAGGTGGGAGAGGCCTTGATAACAACAGATAGTGATACAAAGTCAGTAAAGGTGGCATCTCAGTATTGTTGCAATTATGCTAAAGAAACGTCAGAAAAATATTTACGGTGTTATCTGGTAAGGTAATGTGCTCATTCAGTCGACTTCATCCTGCCAGCAAAACACAATGAAGAGATGAACAGAAATGGATGTTGTGCAGTAAGTTTATGAAAATGGTTTGGGTAAAGTACCCTTTCCAGAACCTGCCTGCTTTGAGGGTCACGGTCACCTTTGAGAAGAGCATCGCAGGCACTCTGAGCTGGTGTGAGGATAGGATTCCTACAGCTGGGTCCTGATAGGAACAGCTATCAAATGTAGCATCTCTGTTCCTGCTCTGAGTCAGTTATAAATCCTTAAAGGCAGATGTTTACATCAGTCTTCTCCTAAATAAAAGCCATACGCCTCTCGGAAGAGCCAAGAAATGTAGGGGAGTTAGGGGAGGCCCATTTCAGCCCTGAAATGGACGCAGCAGAGTGAATGACAGGCCAGTGTTTGCCTTCGCGCCAGTCAGCAGTCGATGGAGCGTCGGACGGGCCGGTCTGGGGAGAAAGAGCAGTGTTCGGACGGAGCAGCGTGGCAAGCGTTGTGGGCTTGGCTGATGCTCACCAGCCACAGAAACCTCTTATCACAGCTGTGGAAGTTGGTGTGGTGTTACTGAATCTGCCCTCAGGTGTGGAGGTGGTCCTCACGCCCAGCTCCCAAACCCTGGCTGTTATGTTTCTGACGTTTATGAGGGCCTCGTTTAATCTTTTTAAAGGTTTTTATACAACAGGATGGAGGCTCAATTATCAGCTCTGAGTATCGCTTTGTTAGAGCTGTTCTTCAGGAGAATACGGGGTTAGTGTGGCAGTCAGACCTGTATTGCCGTGCTGGGATGGGCCTTAAAGCGACACTGCCCCAGTTCCTGTGCTCAGGTCACAGCCCAGATCTGCTCCAGCCCCCGTGTGCCCCCCTGTGCTTATGCATCAGCCGGGTGGATCTGCTGGAGGCTCGTGGTGATGAGATATGGCTGCTTATTTCCGGGGTGGACCTTGTGTTTCTGGGGGAAGGAAGGCGTGAGGCGGGGCTCAGTTCCTGTTCCTTTGAAGGTGTGGGCACGTCAGCATTTCACCTAATTCCCATAAATGAGTGTTCTGGCACAGCCACCAAGCAAGGGCCCAAAGGCGATTTATCCATCTCCGACCATTACCCCGGGCTCGGGTAACTGGTCCCAGTGCACGATGGGAAACGGGGTCACGGTGGATCTGGGACCTCACCGCTTTCCAAAGCGGCCGATCAAAGACAGCCAGTTCCACTCACCTCCCTGGGCGTCTCCTGTTCCCCGCTGCCGCAGTGTCGTCGGATCTGGCCTACATGCCATTGTGCAGAGATCTGTGATCTTCTGCTTGGGTCTGAATAATTTCCCCTCCGTTAAGGTACCATAGAATGCCTTGAAGCCGGCTGTATGGAAAGCGGATCCACGCTGCTGATGTGGAAATGACCTTACAAAGAATCCATTATGTATATTACAAAGAAATACAAATCTTCAATAATATCTTAAATGATATTATTGTAATATTATTCAGTTTAAAACTCAGATCAAGGGTGGCCTGACGCTCTTTTCGGCCGGACCTGGTGCTGTGAAGCTCAGCGTACTGTAATTCAAGCTCTACCGGTGAGGAGAAGAAGAGGCGTATCTTTGTTTGCAGGTACCTGCGCGTGGTTCCCGCAGCAGATTGCGAGCTAGAGGTACACAGTGCTTTCGAATCAACAGCTGTTCCTAATAAAAGGGTGTTAGAAGTGGCAGTTGTGTACGCGACAGTGTCATTACCAAAAAAAAAGAAAGTGTTGTTGTAGGTGACAGGAAAAACGCGGAACATCTGGCGAGGACCTGCCAAGTGGCAGCCAAGGTGCGCCTGGAGCCGGAGCCATGTTCTACCGCGAGGTCCGCACGGAATATGGCAAGGATAAAAAAACGACGCCTCTCCAAACACGTTTTCCCGAGATGAACATCTGGCACAGCGAGAGGTGGGGGTGGGGGGGTGCGATCGATCGAGGCGACAAGCCGCTGAGAGACAGATGTTTTCACGGCCGTGTCGTCGCGTGGCGACATATCGATTTCCAGACGGCCTTGTTTTCCGAGTGAGGAGAACCTGCAGCTCTCGCTGCGTTCCCTGGTCTGCAGCCTCCCTCCGCAGATCCTTCACAGGCTGGTACAGTGAGAGGCTGGGAAGTGGACCTCAAGGTTCTCCGTAGAGTTGCTCAGTCCAAAAACAGGCACTAGGCTCTCTATCCACCAAACAGTCCGAAATGTTTTCATCCGGTTTTCTGGGATAAGATCTTATCTAAGGGCCCCTCCTGGCCCCTGCCGGCCCCTTCAACCCACAGCCACCAGTCCGTGACCTTAAGGGATGTTAGACGGGCTTTATCTAAACGGGGTTCACGATAATCCAGAGCACACATGAGAACTGAGGCGTGACATTTTCGGCAGTGTCAGTCCAAGGCAGTCAGTGGCCCGGTGTAACTGTACTGTAATCACTGTAAAACAATCAGTCGAGGCTTCTGCTATCTCATTGTGTTCACAGTAAGGAGCTCCTTTCCCACCATACAATGTCATTTTAATTTCTTTTTGTTTTTCTGCTGCTTTTTTTTCCTCTAGGGGACAGGTGGGGGTTGAGGAGGGTGTTAACTTGTTTAATGCAGATATGCTGTTTTTTGTATGTTCACACAACTGCTGGTCTGGTTTAGATATTTACATTTAATAGTTTGGGGAAGATGGGACAACTTTGGAGATACATGCCCCCCCCTGCCTGCCCAACAGACAGAGTGGCCTCACAC